CTTTCTCTCGCCCCATGAAAAATTTGATTTGATTATGAGCACGAAAGAAATTGATGTCATTACGCCATGCTTGTGTTTGTACAGATTGTATGAAGAGAAAATGAAGCGTGTTCCAATCCCTGATAAACCACAGTTAACTTCAATGTCCCAGGCATATGTTATCCGTCTAGGATTAAAGTCAATAAACTATTCTCAACATTTCTCTTATAAGCCCGAAGGGTTGGGTGTTTTTTCCACATGGCATTGTGATAAATTGAATTTAATAAAAAGTACCTTGCTGTGTTATCTTAAACTAATCATCAATCAAACAGCCGGTCCCAACTAAAGCTGTATTGGGATCCCGTGTGTTGACCGAAGCTGTATTGGATAAACATTGTTTGATTCGTGAACAAAATAACGTTCATTCTTTGTGAAGCACACTTGCTTGTAAATCTTGCTGCTTGTCGTTCTCTTCTCAGTGTGCTTTCCACGTTTGTTGTTGCTTTAACTTGAGCTCTTTCACTACAAGGCAATTTATAAAGTGTGTCACACTGTAAGCGGATCCAGGCATGTTAGGCATAACAATAAACAAATATTCATGACATGACCCCTGTTACCGTACGCCAACCCTCAACAGATTAACCCGTGAGTACGCTTTAATATTTGTATATACCGCTGTGTATGTGCATTTTGTATATTGTTTCCAAATACCCTATTGTTGTTTCTTACCGTGTCGCGATATACAGGAAGAGGCAAGATCAACGTACAGCACAATGCCTCTATTAATGGGCCGCAGTGAGGTGATAATTCGGCCAATTTCTTCCAGCAAAAAGGGTTAAGGAGATGGTTATTCGTAATTTAAACAATCGTGTCATACCAGGATGTACGCAATGACGCAGCTGCTGGCCGCCACGATTGCAGTCCATGTCTTGGCTTTTCTGTGGTACCATAGGAAAAGGATAGTTTTTCCGGTACTGGCAACTATAGTGTTCTTGGTAAAAATAAGCGTCGGTGACAGCTACTTTGGTGTGTGGCGTTATGATTAAAGTCTCCTTCACGCCCTGTGTGAGCAGGGAATTATATCTTATCCCTGCTGTGAGCGAATAGAGAGGATGATTAAACTTATTATTGAAAATGTCGAGTTATTTTTTTGTATTTTCAAAGCTTGATTATATTGGCCTGAGATGAGAGGGCTTTTTGTTTTGTCTCTGGTTTTTTAAGTCAACGTAACGGACTGCAGATCTGACACATTCAAAGGGATCTTGTCCTCACAGCCCAGTCAGTTTGCTCGATGTCGGATAATTTTCTTTGTAAATGTTGGTACTACTTAACAACTAGAAATGCCATTATACTTTTTTACATGTCCGTCCAACATGTACATCTTTTGTTTTTGTTTTGTGGCAATAAGCATTAATTGTTTTGAGAAGCTTTTTTTTTATCATTTAACGACCAGAAAGAAAAAGATCACCCTTCGGTTAACGTCCGTATTTTGAAGCAACTAAAAGATAATACGCAAACCTGAGGAGGGATGTCAGTGTTTAAAATGATATCTTTCTGAAGAATTAAGATCGACTTTCGTTGATTATTTTTATTAGACCTCAGTCTAGGTACGTCAGTCTGGGCATTCCTCTATAAAGTTGTGCGGACCGTTCCGTTTAGCGCAATAAACTATCTGTGTCAATCAATGTCTGTTTTTTCGCGCTATTCTGCCACAGATTAATAATTCTGTAATACACCGCTTGGCTAATTTTTCGCTCTGCAAAACCGACCGCTTATATGCAAAATTTTAAATTCTTCTATGCTCATTCATTCAGCCCTCATTCAGCCAGCATTCGAAACACACTCGTACAGGGTTCGAAGTAAATTCTAAATATTCTAACTGGATTCTGACTAGTTTTCCAACTACATTCGAGCTGCATTTGAGAGCTTATACACCCGAAATGTGCACGAATCTTTCCAGGTAGATTCAAGCGTATTCTGAGTATTTTAACGGTATTCTTACAAGAATTTAGGTCAATTTTAAGGTGTTTTTTTTTTCAAATGCGGTGCGAATTTGGAAAATTCTTCACTCCGGCTCGTTTTGCCTGATTGCTGCTGATTCCGAATATTTGTGACGGGGCCTTTACTTTGTATGGCAAACTTGAAACTTTCAAAACAGCAAGCTTACTACTAGTGGGAACTTCTGAGTTTTCAGTTTTATCATAGCTCTTCCCCTGAAGGTGTTAGTAATTGTACCAGAGACACTTAGTTTCCCACAATTCGTACTTCTTTTCGTCTCCGTTAAACATTAGCCACCCGCGGGGCCCGTAACATGTTGAGGATGTCATAATGACCCGATGATTTTAAAAGATGAAGTACAGCAGACACACAGCTGAATAACCTAAAACACGATTTTATTTTCAGGAAGAACGGATAAACAGTATCAATATGACACAATATCAAAAATATACATCTTTTGATTGTGAGCTTCACTTTGAGAGTTATAGGACCATATATTTTGATATTTCATGTTTTAACGTATACTCCGCATTTTGTGACCTCGTGCCTTCAAGCGAATTGTCATCCGTAAACATTTGCCCTATTAAAGTGAAATTATCGTCACTCGTTTCCTTTCAATGACAGCTGTATGTATATAAATTAATTCAATTTTCATTGTTTACCACCGCCAACGAGGTTATGGTTTTGATACAGTTTGCCTGTCTGTCTATAAGCAAGCAGACAACAAAAGAAAATTATGCGGGTTGCCTCGATAAACTGAACAACTCATTTGACAAGGCCGTTGCTCATGATAATTTAAGTAAGAAATATCTGGCACAGGTCGGAATTACAAACAGTCATTAATGAATCTGGTCTCATCTGGCAGCTACTACGTCTCTGAAGCGGAAAGCTATTCTTTCTGACATGTTTACCAGAGTTTGAACAGAAATAATATTCCAGGCATTGAATGGAGCTTGTCCAATTTGGTTCAGATTTGTTGGCAAGCCAGAGGCTGTCTGTAGTCTTCAAATATAACGATCTTAATGGCCGCCATAAATGTCCAGGGGCCGGTTTCACAAAGCAGTAGTTAGTTAGCGATCGGTAGTTAGCCTCTCGCTAGTTATAGTGCCGTTTCACGAAGCAGTCGCTAGTTCTCTCGCTCGTTATTGTCTCGTTGTTGCCTTGGATATTTAACGACTGGTCAGACCAGTCGCTAACTCTAGAGTTTCATCGTACGCATGCGTAGTGAGTGAAATAAAAAGGTTGCTTAGTTACCGTTGTCTGTCGTTTGTCTTTGTATCCAATATGGCGGCTACTTTTCTTGCTATCCGTACCGCCAGACGGCAACGTAGACTACGACGTTTTCATGAAAGGCAGAATCTATTAGAATATACACACGATGATGCAACTTACGAGAGGTTGCACCTAGCTGTGACAAAAAGAGCGGCAAAAAGGTGGTGGAGATCCTTTACGACGACCTCAAAGCAGACGTTCTTATGCATTTTCAGCCACCAAAAATTGGAGAGTTAGTGCTTTCGTGACACTTTTACGCAAGAGTTCCACTTCCGGCAGACGGTTTCGAGACTACAGTGAGTAACGAGAGAACTAACGACCGAACTTTACGACTGAACTTAGCGATAAGTTAACGACTGCTTCGTGAAACACCCCTCGAAAATCGCTAAGTTTACTCGTTAGCGAGGTAGTTCAGTAGTTAGTTGTTCTAACTAACTACTGCTTTGTGAAACCGGCCCCTGACCCTTGATGGTTCTGCAAAAACAGCTGGTCTGCATGGATGGATTTTTTCATCTTGTGAAGTAAATTTGATTCTGAAGTTTCTTCTAGCGTATTGGAGGCACCTTATGTCCAGAAATCCCTGTAATTGTTCTGGTTAAGGTTTCTATCTATGGCCACCAATGAGGTTTTAGCGACAACGTGAATTCCGCCCTAAACACAGAGGCGCCTACCAATCCAAGTCGCTCTAAGAGCGACACACGCTAAGTCATAGGCCTCTCCTGAATGGCCGTGAACTTCATTTTGACCACCACTGCAGAACAGATACCTGACCTCGTAAATGAAAACCATATTTCCAGTACATTGCCCAGAAACGGATATGGCTCCAAACTCATTGCAGACATATCCGTTGGTGTTCCGCTCTTCAGAGAGGGTCCCCTAGAGGTCACCTGGTATAAGGTACATGAAGTAACCTGCTCAAACCAATCTGACGATTACAATGGACCTTGTAAAATGGACCTTTTGATGACAATGTGCCTCTCATACTCTTTTTGTTAATTTTTAGAAGAAAAACTGTAAAAATGGATCCTGTTTGCCGATGGTATATTCTGGATGCATAGGGCGTGGTCCCTGTGTGATACACCAGTCTAAGCATACCTCTGTAAGACTGTGCGTAATGTTTCTTGTGACAAAATTATCTGTCTAAAAACGTATGCTATTTTGCACCATTCTAGCGCAAAGACACAAAGTTGTAACACACTGCTTCGCTCAGTTTAGGCATCGCAACATCCGCTACTTGAATGCAAAATTTCAAAATCATCTGTGCAGGCCTTGCCTAAATAGCAAAAAAGTGGACTGAACCGTGCTCTGACACCTTAGACCAGCCTAAAGAGTACTACCCAAAAAAATCACCACAATTTACGTGCAGTCCTTTCGACAAGGCAGTGAGTTAATTGCTACTGACACACCTGACTACACATTTATCTATTCTAATAATTCACATGAAATACACGTACAAGAAATAAATGCATATTTTCCTAGACATACCTTTGCAACTAAAATATTCCATATTAAAAGTCAATTCTGTAATTTGATTTCAGATTTAAGATCCGTTCAGTTCTGCTCAGGATGGGAACACGTGTGACGTGTGTGTAAGAGAAGGTGTTGCAATGTACTGGTTTACTGCGGTATGTACCTTACAAAGAGAACCATCCAAGAGTTCTATTGAGAGAGATAGTGTAAATGATGCTTAATTTGTGAACTTCACATGCAAGACGCTAACGGTTGGATTTTGCTTCCGGTATTACAGAGCCATGGCGTCCTATCCAATAACACTAGAGAACCAAATCAGGATACAGAAAAGCTGGGAAGCTATATGTAATGATCTTGATGTTAGGGATATATCTGAAAGACTCATCACGACTGACGTTATTACTACCACACAGTGTGAAGACATCCTGCTGGAACCAGCACGTTTAAAACAAACCCAAAAGTTGTTGAATCTTCTGCTCACTGGAGCCAACCAGAAATTTAACCAACTTGTCTCATGCCTCCGGGTAGATCACGGCTGGCTCGCAACTAGACTTTTGAACACGTCAGTGACAGAGGAAGACGAACAAAAGCGAATAAGTAATTTTAAAATTTGTTTAACTCATTGGGACCATTCCTTTTCAGACACTCAGCAGTTATTCTCATAAAGTGCAGCATTAAACTTAAATGTCTGACACGCCTGCTGGAGCAGCTTTAAGGTACGGGAAGGGAAAATCAGACAATTAAGCTGATTACATTGATTGCACTTGCATACGATGTCTGAATCTGAATGCGGTCACAAAGTATAGCGTATACTGTTGAAACCACAACCTCTTGCTTGTTGTAAAATCAAATAACATTCCTGCCAAATTGCGTTGGTCTGCCTTATAATATGATGCAAATATTTTTAATTTATAAACTGTAATAGGTACGTCATATCATTTTTGGGGATTATATTGGTAATTGAGCCTGTCAGCGTTATTTCGGTTACATGTACGTAGGAAAAATATGTGTCTTAACTACTTTTGTGTAAATATTCCATCATAGGATGAGTTATATTTTCAGGGTCCGTTCTGGAGACGTGTTCTATACCACAGAAACCGGCGTGCTTTGTGGGACGCAATGAAGATATTAAAAAGATAGCAGACATATTTTTTAAGGACATGCGTCGCATCGCAGTAATAAAATCTTTTGGAGGTCAAGGTAAGACCGCTTTGGCAACCGTTATAGGCCACACCTTTGTGTCAAAATGGGGAATACGTTCAATAATGGCTGACATGAAGAATGTTTCATTTGCAGATGATATTCCTTTGTCCCTTCTCCTTGCTTTAAAATCATCAGCAGGGTTAAGCAGTGGTGACACCAACGCTGATCGTCTCATAACCAAGGCCTGTCAAGAAATACGTTCAGACATGGCTGATAGGGATAATGATCTATTAGCAGATGATATTCCATTGTCCCTTCTTTGTACTTTAAAATCAACAGCAGGGTTAAGCACTGGCGGCACCAACGCTGATCGTCTCACAACCAAGGCCTGTCAAGAAATATCGTCGTACGGCAAAAAGATGCTCATCATACTTGACAACTGTGAGAGTGCACTCGAGGACAACCCACAAAGCCATTTTTATACCATGCTACAGCGGTTGGTTACTTACTGCAACAACGCCTACATTTTATGTACAACTCGCCGTACAATTCAGTTACCAAACACAGTGGTGCCTGTTCACAATCTTGATTCTCTGACAGCGGATGAATCGTGCGACGTGTTGCAGTCGTATTCACAAAATTTGTGTCGTGACGACGGCAAACGCTTAAGTGCAAAATGTAACTTTGTTCCACTGCTGCTTCATATTCTTGGCTACTTACTGCATCAAGGTCACAGAGCAATTGATATAATCAAGGAGCTTGGATCAAAACCGGTATTTTGCCTAAAACTTTCACCGTTAACACCCGAGCACCTAAACGCTGCAGCTTGTATTAACCTGTCTTTTAAACAATTGGGCCTGGAAGTCCAAGAATCAGTTCAAATACTGTCTATTTTTCCAACAAGTTTTAATGCAGACGATGCATTCAAACTCTTGTCCAAGCATCAAGTTAGTCTTTCTATGTTTGATTGCAGAACTTGTCTACAAACCCTTTGTGATGCTTCGTTTCTGGTGTATGATGCAGCAAGCGGTACGTATACTATGCATGGTGTTATACAGGAGTTTGTACAAGAACATACTTCTGAAGAAAATATGGATCATTTTAAACAGATATTCATGATATACATGGAGGATAGAATAAATGAGATGTACTCATTTGCTGAAACAGAAAATATACGTGCTGCAACAAAATTGTTTGAAAAAGACAAGGATGTTTATCTGACCTCTTTTGATATTTTTGAGAAAATGCGCTCAGTCTCAAAGGAAGTTACATTGAGCAATGCAAAGAAATTGGCTTTCAGTCTAAGACAGATAGGCAGGTTTGACGATTCTCTCAAATATTTCAAACTCGCGCTAGACATCACTATAGAGCACGGAGAACAAAGTGATCATTTTGACCTGGCATTCTTGTATTATAACATAGGTTATCTACTTGGCAAACTTGGAAATTCATCTGCTTCCATTGAGTATCTATCTAAAGCAAAAGACACGTATGAGAAGCAAGAAGAGCGCTGTGATTGCAAACAATATTGTAAATGCTGTTATTATTTGACAGTGCAGCTGCGTCGGGTAAAAGAAAATCATGCACTTTGTCTCGATGTACTGAACAACTGTTTCGACAAGGCCGTTGCCCATCAAGATTTAAGTATAAAATACCTTGCACAAGCCGGAATTTCAGGAATCAAAGCCAGACAAGGAGAAGAGGAGGTCGTTATGTCCACCTTGCATGAAATACTAAATGCAAACCCCGCAACAGATGGCAAGGAAGACGGAGTGAGTATGGATGCTTTAAATGATGCAGCCGTATCCTTGCATGCAATTGGGAAAAAAGAAGAATCTTTGTCATTACAAAGACGGGCAGTTGTTATTGCAGAGGACTGCTGTGGTGAACATCCTGACACTGTTGATGTCCTCAACAATATGGGTTCTGACTTGATTATTGCCGGACATATAGATGAGGCCATAGATGCTCTTACAAGAGCTGCGGCTATGAGTGAAACGATAATGGGAGAATACCACGAACAGACAGCAGACACAATACAAATATTAGCTTGTGCCATATCTGAACAGGGAAACCATGCAGAGGCTCTCAGTACATACCAGAGAGCTCTTCGTATAAGGGAGCAAGTGCTGGGTGAAAGTCGAAGTACAGCCAGTACACTTTACTGCATAGGTCAAGAAATGATAGAGTTGGACAATGCAGACGGTGCTGAAGGCGTACTCAGGAGAGCTTTGGCTATTAACGAGAAGATACTGGGAGAATATCACGGATATACAGCAGCTACAATATCTGCATTAGCTTGTACCATGTCTGCACAGGGAAACCATGCAGAGGCTCTTAGTACATTCCAGAGAGCTCTTCGTATAGAGGAGCAAGTGCTGGGTGAAAGTTGTATTACAGCCAATACATTGTATTGCATGGGTCATGTAATGATAGAGATTGGCAATGCAGACGGTGCTGTGGATGTCCTTAGGAGAGCTCTGGCTATGAGGGAGAAGATACTGGGAGAATACCACAAAGAGACAGCGGCCACAATACATGAATTAGCTTGTGCTATATCTGCACAGGGAAACCATGCAGAGGCTCTCAGTACATACCAGAGAGCTCTTCGTATACATGAGCAAGTGCTGGGTGAAAGTAAAAGTACAGCCACTACACTGTTTTTCGTGGGTCAGGAAATGATAGCGTTGGGCAATGCAGACGGTGCTGTGGATGTCCTTAGGAGAGCTCTGGCTATGAGGGAGAAGATACTGGGAGAATACCACAAAGAGACAGCGGCCATAATACATGAATTAGCTCGTGCTATATCTGCACAGGGAAACCATGCAGAGGCTCTCAGTACATACCAGAGAGCTCTACGTATACAGGAGCAAGTGCTGGGTGAAAGTAAAAGTACAGCCACTATAGTTCACAACATTGGTCATGAAATGATAGAGTTTGGCAATATAGGCGGTGCTGTGGATGTCCTGAGGAGAGCTCTGGCCATGGAGGAGAAGATACTGGGAGAATACCACGAACAGACAGCAATCACAATACATGAATTAGCTCGTGCCATATATGCTCAGGGAAACCATGCAGAGGCTCTTAGTACATTCCAGAGAGCTCTACGTATACAGGAGCAAGTGCTGGGTGAAAGTTGTGTAACAGCCAATACATTACATAACATGAGTCATGGAATGATGAAGTTGGGCAGTGCAGACGTTGTTGTGGATGTCCTCAGGAGAGCTCTGGCTATAAGGGAGAAGATACTGGGAGAAAACAACGAAGAGACAGCAGCCACAATACATGAATTAGCTGGTGCCTTATCTGCACAGGGAAACCACAAAGAGGCTTACAGTACATACCAGAGAGCTCTTCGTACAAGGGAGCAAATGCTGGGTGAAAGTCAAAGCACAGCTAATACACTGCACGACATGGGTCAGGAAATGATGAAGATGAGCAATGCAGACGGTGCTGTGGATGTCCTCAGGAGAGCTATGGTTATGAGGGAGAAGATACTGGGAGAAAACCATGAAGACACAGCAAACACAATATTTGAATTAGCCCGTGCCATATCAGCACAGGGAAACCACGAAGAAGCTCTTAGTACATTCAAGAGATGTCTTCGTATAGTGGAGCAAGTGCTTGGTGAAAGTTGCAATACAGCCAGTACACTGGATTGCATGGGTCAGGAAATGATAGCGTTGGGCAATGCAGACGATGCTGTGGATGTTGTCAGGAGAGCTCTGGCAATGAAGGAGAAGATACTGGGAGAATATCACGAACAGACAGCAGTAACAATACATGGATTAGCTTGTGCCATATCTGCACAGGGAAATCACGAAGAGGCTTTCAGTACATACCAGAGAGCTCTTTGTATAATGGAGCAAGTAATGGGTGAATGTCGCACTACATCCATTATACTACATAATATGGGTCAAGAAATGATAGAGATGGGCAATGCAGACGGTGCTGTGGACGTCCTCAGGAGAGCTGTGGTTATGAGGGAAAAGATACTGGGAGAATACCACGAACATACTGCAGTCGCAATACAAACATTAGCTCGTGCTATATCTGCACAGGGAAATCACGAAGAGGCTCTCAGTACATACCAGAGAGCTCTTCGTATAATGGAGCAAGTAATAGGTGAATGTCGCACTACATCCATTATACTACATAATATGGGTCAAGAAATGATACAGATGGGCAATGCAGACGATGCTGTGGACGTCCTTAAGAGAGCTGTGACTATGACGGCGAAGATAAGGGGAGAATATCACGAACAGACTGCAGTCACAATACATACATTAGCTCGTGCCATATCTGAACAAGGGAACCATGCAGAGGCTATTAGTACATACCAGAGAGCTCTTCGTATAAGGGAGCAAGTGCTGGGTGAAAGTCAAAGAACAGCCAGTACACTGCATTGCATGGGTCAGGAAATGATAGCGTTGGGTAATGCAGACGGTGCTGTGGATGTCCTCAGGAGAGCTGTGGCTATGAAGGAGAAGATTCTAGGAGAAAACCACGAAGAGACAGCAGACACAATACATGAATTAGCTCGAGCTATATCTGCACAGGGAAACCACGAAGAGGCTCTTAGTACATACCATAGAGCTCTTCGTATAGTGGAAATGCTGGGTGACTGTCGCAAAACAGCCAATATAATTTTTTGCATAGGTCAAGAATTGAATATGCTGGATAAAAAAGAAGCCATGATTAGTTTTGTTTGTGCGATAGTTCGTGTTGTATTTTCTCTTGTTGTGTTGTTATATGTTTTGAGAATAATACATAGTTAATTACTGACAAAAATGAAACGGATGCACAAAGGCACGTACCGTAAACACAAACTATATTCAACTTCGATATGTTAAATAAATATACTATTCCTCCTAATGTTCAAAAGAATAAAAGTTAACATAAAGGCATTATAAAGTGTGCTTTCAATGCATTTTGGAGTATCACATATATCTTTTACATAATAATTTTTTTTTCATTTTTTCGTTTGTTTTATTGACTTTCATTTCATAGAATGGATTTTAAATGATTCGCCCCCCCCCCCCCCCCCCGACTCCTACTGATTGTGATTTATAGTATGTGAATAACTTTTTCGTGAAGATCCTTTATGCACATTTTGGCAATTGTTTCTTTGCATGAATGTTTGGATTCCATGTAAAGCAACCGTGAATATTACTTTTTTAAACAGGTAATCCTTATAGTTCTTGTGCAAAAAGTTCCTTGAAATTCTTTGTATATATTAATGAAACAAAAATAAAATAAATAAAATGAAATCACTTTTTTCAGGACAGCGATCCTACATCCTGATTACATTTATCATATTTATAATGAAACTAAATTTAAAACATAACCATACAATAATTTGGGCTTTTTAGTTCCCCTTTTTTGGTCTCACGGCTCTCTCCTCAATTATAACTAATTTGTCACTTTGTTTTTCTTCTTTTTAGGGGGGAATTGAACATCCTTGGTTCGTGTTTAACAGTTTCAGGTTGATCAACCTCAATCAATTTCTCCTGACAAAATCCGATCTTTTCCCCTGTTGGGTCTGAATTCTGCTGTTTTTGTTGCACTCTCTGAAATTTCTTCATTTTGAATTATGTCATTTGCTGTGTTTATAACACTTTTGTAGAGTTTAAATTGGCTAGCGTCTCTGCACTTTGTCCGTCCATCTGTTATTCTTCTGGCAGTTATCTGAGACCATTTCAATGATGATGTACAAAATAAGTTCGCACGGTGTTTGCAATGTATTTTTCATTCTTTGCTTGACTAATACAAAATCTCTAAATAAGAATGAGGTTTCTCTTGTGTTTTTCCTTTCATTTGATTTCTGCTTCTATGTTTCATCTTTGTCGTCAATTGTGGTCTTGTTCACTTTAAATGTGCTCTGGTTCTGAGTAGTCAAGTTTTGTCCTTTCTGCTTTTCTCCATAGTGCATTGTATGGTGCTACTCCTGTGGCGTAGTGTGGTGTTGCTATATGCAGTTAACATTTCTTGCATTGCAGTTCTTCTATAGGTTAAATATCTGTTTCGTCCTATTTACCGTTTTTATGAACGACTCCGCTTCGCCGTTTGCTCTTTGGTGTACTGGTGTGACTCTGTGGTGTTTAAATCATTGATGCTTTGCAAATTCTGCAAATTCTGAACCACTAAACGGTGCTCCGCTGTATGTTGTGATTACATCCTTCACCCTTGTAAATATATAGGCCTAAAAATATGCGTTTCTCTGTTGTCTCTGTTGTTGATTTCACACTTTCCACTATAGGGTAACGTGTTCGTTTGTGTACCAATACTAAATTATAATGTCAGTCTGGATATAGTTCCCAGAAATCCATTGATACTGTGTACCATGGTATTGTTGTTGTTTTACTTGGTTTCGCTGGTTCTTCCTTGCTGTCTTATGTAACACCTTTGCATTCATAATGCTGATCACATGACTCTTCTCTTTTTCTATCCAATCCTTAAAACCAGTATTTGTCTCTAAACGGTCTAGGCTTTTGGTTTTTCCCAAGTGTGACGTATATCCACAGCTTTTTTCTGGAGCTTTTTTGGTAGTACAATCCTGTTATTCCTATTTTCCAATCAATTAATTATTGATAATTCTTGTTTCACATGCCAATATGGTTCAATTTCTGGGTCCTTTTTGTACATGTTCCAGTCGCCTTTGGGAATTTTTCATCCAATTTTCAATAATGTGCGGTCTGTGATTGTTTCTTTTCTCAATTTGTCAAGTACGACTGTATCCTCTGTGTTCACTGAATGTGACAATTTTATTATGCTCTCTGTGTTGTCATTTCCAGCCGATGGTAGCGGTTGTCTTGAAATATAATCAAGTGGATCTTTCTCATATTTCTCTGGCTCATAGGTAACTTCGAAGTCCACGTCTTGCATGTCCATTACCAATTTTTCAATTTTAGGTGAAAGTTTAGCTGTGCACTTGTTAAACATAGGTAAAAGTGGTTTATGTGCTCTAACTAATTTAAACTTTGGAGCACCTTGCAAGTAAACACTGAGCCTGTTTTTCGCCCATCTGATTTCTAGTGCGTCCTTTTTCGTTTCTTTTTCTTTTAACTTCTTAAATCTATTTTCCCCTTCCTCCCTTCCCTAAGCTTGCTATCTTGCTTGGTTAGCTACTTCAGTGGTGCCGCGAGTGTTGCATGATCTTCTATAAAGTTACTGAGGTAACAACACATGCCTAAAATGCAGCGTACGATGCGTACCTCTTCTTTACTCTCTGGTGGTTCACAGTCGGTCACTGCTTTTACTTTGCTTGGATCAACATTCAGTCCTTAACTGGTGAATACATGTCCAAAGAATTTTATTTCACTTCGAGCGAATTCATGCCTTTATTTGCTGAATGCACCCTGAGCTTCAGAGATAACTTGACACTAACCTCTTCACTATAGCTTATCTTCGTCGTGTCAAGTTACCGCTGACGAAAATAGTTTGACCTAGTTTATATAAGCCAATCGATTCCAAAATTTTTCACCAAAGATTGGTGTAAACGCTGCTGGTTGAAAGTCCAGAATTATGTCCAATGAGAAAATTGTATTTCGTTGCGTCCGCATACCCGTCAATCGGCAATCCTCGGTTGATTCCGTAAGCTCCATACTAACAACAAACGGCGCGGTGCGGCGCTTTACTTTCCCCACCTTAATGATTATGCGTTTTCACACCATCAAAACCTCAGCTAGAATAAGACGACCCCCGTTTACGCCATAACATTTTTACATAATCATCAAAACTAGCAAATTATTCTTTAGTCGCTTCTGCAGATTATAAAGTTATTGTCGAGTGCGGAGACATGTGAGTACAGTAGTTCCGAGTGCATAACCGTACACAAAGAAAGCATGGCGTCTCCTACGAGTGACTACGTAAAAGAATGTGTTATCTCTTGATTCTTTGGAAAATATGAGTATATCGGAATTGAAACCAGAGCAGTTAGAGGCTCTGCATCACTATCTACTGAGGGATGATGTATTTTGCGTGCTGCCCACAGGTTACGGCAAGTCCCTGATATTCAGCCTTATCTTTGATTGGTCTGGATTTGAACAAAGCGCGCTTTGACTCGTTCGCGTTCATTGGCTAGATCGTTCAATGAGTCATTGAGTGCGGGCTTTAAATTTGATTGGCGGGCGGCGGGAGCAATCGAATGTGGTCAGAGGTAACTTGACACGATGAAGATAGGCTATAGTGAAGAGGTTAGTGTCAAGTTATCTCTGAAGCTCAGGGTGGCTCCCTCCTCTTTTGCACGTTGCAACACCTTCTCCAATGTTTCACTGTGTTCCTCCATTTGTGTGTCTCTCTGGTTTATAGGCATCTAGGTATGTCACCGAATATATGGAGCATTTCCTCCTTAAACAGATCTTGGTTACTTTTTGCCCCAAATATTAGTATGGTCGGCTTATAGTCGCTCAGTGATGTCCTAAAAGGGGTAATCTGTATTGATTCTTTGTCTAAGCTCAGTTGTAGATATCCGTGTCGAAGGTTCGACTTGCTAAATACTTGACAGCCATTTATTCTGTAGGTAATATCCTCCACAACTTGTGCCTGTATACATCGTCTCCTTTTCATGTATTGGTTTGAAATCCTTACATTTATACTTGGTCTTATCGTGTGTGGTTCTAATTAATGTCTCTTCTGTCTTGTCTGCATATTTTGGTTTTGGTTGTACGACTTTGGGCGAACACCGTGTGATTACTTCATTAAATGTTACCTTCTCGTAGATCTCTTCTTTCTCACCTTGATTAAGCCATGTAGGCTACCACCTGATAGGGGAAGAGGTGGCTAGAAAAGTTCTGTTCTTAAAAGAATCAGCGTTTACAGACACCCAGAAGAGGCCTACGACGAAGCATGTGCCGTATCTAAAGTCACATGGGACATTGACAGCGTCAGTATGTGGAGTGGATACCACACTGGTGCCAAAACACCAATGATAGTCAACGACGAAACCCTGAACCAGATCAAATAAAGGAATAATCTGGGGACCACTTGACTGTCATTTGATAGGTGGCACCCTTAGGAACAAGTTTAGGTTACAGTTCATTATCATCCTGTTACATGAAAAGCCTGTGGCATCGTGGGCTCCAAGTCGTCGGATCCTTTGTCTAAATCTGCACGAAACGACTGAACAGTAGCGGCTTCTCTGCCTCCAAACTTCTTCCATTTTTAGCTGCAATTCTATGTTTCCCACCGAATACGTTGTCCGGAACCGCGCAAATTTAGATATAAACGTAATTTAGAATTAGGCTCGAAATACGGACACCGTTGGAAACACGCGTTATGTGTTTATATTTTCAGGAGATAATGTTTTTAGATAAGCAATTAACTATTTAAACATTAAGATTATCTTATTCCTTTAAAAAACACTATGTATTTTTAAATTAAAATCTACAGCAAATCCAATTAAATTAAGCAAAATTAAACCTGTTTTACGTTTCATTGTGGACTAATGACATCCAAATGCAGATTCACCACGGAGCAGTTCCTTTGAATGGAAGATACTCAAAACTGCCGCTACGTTTAGGGGCACTGTAAAGTTTACACATGAAAAGGAACAATGAACAAGCTACCTTTATAATGTCCGTAGACTAAGGGTAGAAGTGGAGTACGTGAGCTTGAAGAGGCAGATAATGTGTTTACTGAAGCTTTTCCGGTAAACGAGTTCGCGTTTTCGAAGGACCAGCCTGAGCCTTTTCTTCCATAATGTCTTTTCCTGCCCACATGAATTGGTTTAAACTAGGTCACAGCACGAGAGTCTCGTGATAACCAAATATCTAGGGTTCAAGCATGAACATGGTCTTCGTACTCGTAAAACCATCGTTAAAAAGTGGAATTTGATTTATTGCTTTTTTATTTTTAAAATTTTATATTGTTATGTTGATACGTATTATTAATCGTTAGGACGTATGGGGAAATTGTCGCTTACCCCATAAATAGGCCTATCCGTTTTCTGGGACTTTTCCTGCAAAAATGAAGGACAGTTGTAATAACTTAGTTACGAATTTTGATTTGAAATATTTTTGCAAAATTACAATGAAATAGTTGGATAAAGTGGCCCCAGCCAACTTTTTAAAAAAGAAACATTAAACCGAATGTTATAAGCCTATCCAAAAGACATTGCACAAATACTGAAATGAAACTTTTATAACATGGAATGGAATTCACTTACACCTCATGTAATCTTAAATAAATTTTGCGAACGAATTTTGTCGCAAACCTGGACTACTCGAAAACTTTCAAGAGGAGGTGTGTCACAAGTAACTTATAAACAAGGTTTAAAAACACCACCGAATAAAGACAAATACCCAGAGGACAGCGATCCCTCTCTCAAACAACAACAAAAACAACATCTATTACCACTTCCGCTACTAGGCCTACTACTTATTATTAATTTACTAAAAATCTAAAATCCATTTAAAATTAATAAGATCTATCATGTTCAGTAGAGGTTAGTGATGA